CCAGTGAGGAGGGAAGTGGGGGTATGGGGTCCAGAGAAGTGGGGCACTGATCTGGACCGCTGGCACTGGGAAGAGTAAGAGACTAGAAGACAGAGCAGGAGAGGTGGCGGGAGCTGCCCGACTCTGGAACTTAGAAGGTGTGGCGAGGTTTGGGATGTAGTCTGGCATCCCAGGTTCAAGCAGGGATGGGCCCTAACTGTGCCCTTGGCTTTGAGACACTGTGGGATGGGACAAGGGAAGCCACCCAGGCTCTGCTCTGGTGGGAGAGGCAGGCTCAGAAACAGACACATAAAATCACCTGCGCTCAGTGCTGGGAGCCTGGAAGCTCACTCTCCCCCAGGGTGAGGGCAGGTTCCTGAAGCTTCTGAGCCAGCCCTGCAGGAAGCCCCAAGTCTGAGATGTGCCCAGATACTCCGCAGTGATGCTTTCTGGTCTCCGAGGACGGTGGTGGGGGGGGGGGGCCTTTCCTCCCGGTTCCCAGAGCCAGGTCTGCCTGTGCGCCTCTGTCAGGGCTTTTCAAGTCCACTGCACTCGCATCCTAGGAACAGAGATGGGGAGAGCTGGGGCCGCACACTGCAGGGCCTGAGGGAGCTGCAAATGGGGTGGAGAGACTCAGGGAAGCAGAGAGATGGCTCTGCTGGGGTCGGGAGGCTATGGCTCTGGGATATTCTGGTGGCTCATTCCTGATGAGCTTTTCTCACTTCTCCCTTACAAACGGGAACTTTGAGACTATTTTGGCATGTGACACTAATACAGATGAGCCTTGACATTCCTCATCTTCGCGCACACTTGGCCTGTTTTGTGTCCAGGCACACACCTGCCAGGGCCTCAGTTTCCTTACCTGTGAAATTGGGGACACATGTGAGGAGAAGGAGGACAAGACTCTGCCCTTCCTGCCCTAACAAGCTGGCATCTCAGACTTAGGGCAAAGCTAAGGGACTTAGGGAGACATGGTGCCTAGGTCCAGCCACCACGCTGTGTGACCTTGGGCCTTTACTGCCCTTCCCTGTGCCTTGGTCTCCTCACCTGTAAACTGGGGAGATAACAGAACCTACCTCACTGGCTCATTGTTAAGATTTGGTGTCTTTGCATCTCTAAGGCACAGGTCTCTACATGTACTTCACATCCCGCCCATGTGCCAAACCACTGTCACCTCTGTGTTCAGAGAGAGTGCTTCGCCTGGGCTGTCTCACTCCATCCTCCTCCCAGCGCTATGGGGACGTTGTTTTGTTATCCCCGTTTTACAGATGGGGAAACTGAGGCTCAGAGAGGTTAAGTTGCAGGTCAAGGCCACACAGCTAGTAAATGGCAGAACTACGGTGTTAATCTGCTATGTCAACCTGTACTCGTGGCCCCACCCAGATGCCATCCACCCACAGATCACCAACCATCATCCCCTGCCTTCCTCCTTCTGAGATCTGTGCCTGGCTTCCGAGATGTGTGGCAGGGGAATGACCTGAGTCACTGGGTCATTGAGGGAAATAAAACATCCAGCTGGATGCTTCTCTCTTCCTGCTCCTGGCCCGCTTCATATGCACACACAGGCACATGCATGTACATTTGCACACGTACACACCAGCACATGCAAACACGAACACACAGAGACACTTGAACGCATGCATACTCATACACAGAAGCACATGCAGACACACACCTTCACACATGTGGCACATACTGACTGATCCCAGCTTAGCCGAGAAAACTCCACCTCCTTTTTTTATCCGGTTGACCCCTGGGGTCCTCCTTCCTCAGACACTGTGTGGGACCTCATCACAGTGTCCCTCTCACCTCAGATTGCAGACAGGCAGTAGTAGAACCTCCTCAACACTGGATAGAGCCAGGCAGAGTCAACACGCACACACACTGTCACCTACCACGTGCCAGGCCCCGTGCCCAGAGCATGGGCTCTCTCTGCCTCATTTGATCCACACACAAAAATCTGGTGAGGAGCAAGATCCCATGGTACAGAGCAGGAAACTGAGATTTCGGGAGCTGAGAGGTTTGCCCAAGGCTCACTCAACTAGAGAGGGATGGGACAGGATATCCACCGTGATCAAGACCAAATCTGATTCCTGCCCGGGGAAAGGAGCACAGACAGGGAACAGTCGACAGAGAAGAAAATCAACAGCAAATTCCTATGCCAATGAGCTGAGTCAGAGAATAACAGGAGGGACCGATTTGAAATGGAGACGGCAGGGAAGTCTCTCCGGGAAGATACTGCAGCCAAGACCATAAAGAGAAGAGGAACAGAGAGCCCGGAAAGGCATTTGAGGTGGAAGGAACAGCATGTGCAAGCCTTACGGAACCCACGAGTAACCCCACAGTGGACCTGCACTGCCTAAGCTGGCATAGCTTTACCAGCAGCTCTTGGTCTGTGTGAGGCTTCCTACTTGTGCTAGGATACAATCAAACAGACCTCACCCTTTAAAGTTTTTCTAACCCGTCCACCTCCTCTCACCAGGTATTAAAAATGCCAGAAGCAGGGAAAGCCCTTGCCCTGCCTCCAACATTCCTTCGGGGCAGTTTGGCTGATGCAGCTGTTTTATGAGCCTCGGTGAAGGCCTGCATTTTGCATTTCTGGCGATGATGCTGATTTTCCTGTCCGCCCCTGGACTGTGACCCCTGGAATAGCCACCAGGGTTTCCAAAGAGGTGGCCCTTTCCTCTCGTTCCATTTATTTATAATGCATGGCCCTCCTCCTCGCCAGAGGAAGCCTAGTTTTATTTACATGTCAGTGCCCCAGAGGGCACAGGGGCCCACATGGCACCTTTGTCCCCGGGCTCACTCTGGGCTCCAGCTGGCAGGTCAGGACAACTGTCACCTGCTTAGAAGTCAGAGACTCATAGAATTCTGAGGCTGGAAGGGGTGGCATTTCACAGATGGGAAATGTGAGGCCCAGAAAGGCCTGGATGTGCCAAGGCCGCCCAGCCTGTCAGAGCTGCAGGGAGTACGGAGGGGTCCTTGCCATGTCTCCTACCATAGACAGTCACGATCAGCAGAGGGTGATGGGGACCAGATGTGTGCCTGGTGAGGCTGCACAGGGTCGGACTCCCAGCCCCAGCACTCCTGAAAAGTAACTTAACCCTCAGTGCCTCCTCTTTCTCATCCGTAAAACAGGCTTTCCATCACACTGTAACCCGGAGTTACTGGGAGGAGTCACTGTGCTGGTGTATATAAAGTGCTTAGAAAAGCTCTGGCGGGTGGGCTCAGTGGTTAGAGCTTCAGCTCGAGGGTTTGATTCCTGGTCAAGGACAGGTATCTGACGTGCAGGAGGCAACCAATCGATGTTTCTCTCTCTCTTCTTCTCATCCACTCTCCTTAAAAATCAGTGGAAAAAATATCCTCCGTTAAGGATTAACAATAACTAACTAACTAACTAAATAAAGTGCTTAGAAAAGAACCCTGGCGCATGCTAAGGTCTCTCTCTGTGTATTAAATAAATACAATGCATCTATTCACATACACGATAATTACATGGAAACAGTGAATCCCCTGTCAGAGCTCCTGTTTAACAAGAGGAAGGAAGGCCCCAGAGTTGTTGAGTCACTTGCCCTGGAACACACAGCTCTGGACACACAGGACCCTTTCTGCCCCTGGACAGGGGTGCAGAGGGGTGTGTCAGGTGCAGCCTCTGTCCCCCAGGATGGTGCCTCTACTAGTGTGTTCCAGGAGACTGAGGGCTCCTCTTCCCTCTGCCTCCAAATTTAGAACACTGGGCACTGGAAAGTGCCCCCAACTCTGGGCCGCGGAGGGCTGTAATGGCCCTTGTTGGGTACCCCCTTTAGAAGGAGGAGCGGGCCATAGCACCCTGAATGGACTTGGCTCCTGGACTGAGGCTGCTCTTCCCCCCCAGAGCGCCTCCACCGACTCCTCAGTCTCAGAGGACACCAGCCACTTCCTTACCTGCCTCCTCCTGCGTCCTGCTTGACCTTTACTTAAAGACCAGCTGTAGCCGCTGATGGGTTTCCGCGGGTCCCCCGAGGAGACCCTTCAGACAGCTCCAGCCTGGCGCGCTGGAGAGAGCCCCTAATTGGGGCAATGAATCATCGCTCGTGGCTCCGGCTGGACACAAAATAGATAGAGGAGCCGGCGCGCTATTGTGCGCAGTTTGGGACGCGGGGGGAGGGAAGAGGGGGAACAGCCGAGGAAAGGGGGAGAATGGGGAGGAGGAGGGGAGGGCGCGCGAGGGAGGGATTCCCCGCCCGCTGGTTCCC